ATAAAATTTTTTAGAGAGACATTATGTGTGTATAGAGCTATGAAGCTAGCATGATTGATCTGTAGATTACAGTGTATTTCTACAATGTATACATATCAGTTTCACAGGGAAAATAACATTGTCTTAGCATCAAATGTGGCAAAATATTAATTTTCTGCCATCACAATATTAATAGGGTGTATATGAACCATGGTAGTTAGTGCATCCAAATCCATTTAATTAGATAGAGTACTTTGTGCCATTAGCATCTTCTTTTACTTGATTTTTCTTGTGAATAAGTGTTTTTTTTTTAAAGCATATTCTTGTTTTTCTGATTTCTTCAGTTCTATTTCTTCAAGTAGTACATTTAGTGTGGTCTGTATCTTAAAACGATTATATCAACTCTGATATATAAGGCAGTTGATAAAGAGTGAAATATTTTAGAAAATTATTTGTGCCTTTTCAGGAGGAAAAAATACTGGCGTCCTCTTCCTACCAGTTTTGTGTGACTATGTCTTGTACTTGCTATAAATACGCATTAGCAGTTTATCTCCTAATAGGAGTAAAGGGGTAATTTTCTGCTGCTGCTTTTTTTCTTGAACATAGATTAGATTTATTCTTAAAGGAGCACAAAAGCAAACACAGACTTCTCATTCTAATTTTAAATAATTTAGAGTGGAACTGTGAACACAATATTTTCCCCATTGAAGATCATTTTATACTGAAGTTTAATATAGGTTTTAAAATTTCTATTTAAAACTTGGGCTCAGGAGGGTGATGGTAAAGTGTGACATTCGCAAGCTGTTTCCCGGTGATGAAAAATGCATGAGAACATAACCCACACAGAACTAGTCAGGCGATTTTGAATGTAATTTTCCATTAAGTTTTACTTGATTCAACTCAACACATGGTTTGTACCTTACAAGTTTCTTGAAGAAAAGAATACGTGGTCCATTGTTTTTATTAATCCCTTCTTAGTATGTCTAATTCGTATTACTTTCGACCTTTCTTCTTTTCTAGTGTGTGCATATGTATTTACATTTTCTTGTTATGTATTGATTTGGCTGTATCCCCTGGGTCTTAAAATGTCATGTCCTCAATGCCACATATTTATTTATGAATTTTCAATTTTGATTTTCTTTCTCACTCACACAGCTAAACTATTTAAGATTTCCTTTTGTTCTTAATTGCTAATTTTACTGCATTATGTTCAGAAAAAGTAACTTAAGGTGTTTCTGCAGTTTTAAATATTGAAAGTGGTCATTTTTTTTGTGTGAATGTTAAATGTATGCTTGAAAAGAATATATATTAACATGTGTATTAGATTAAAATGGTAATTCTCATATTCAAGTTCATAAATCCCTTACTTCTTCCTTGTCTGCTCTTTTGATGTCTGAATGATGTATGTTTGTTGCCCATTATCACCGTGAATTTGACAATTTCTTATTTTATTGCTACCAGCAGTAAAATACATACATTTCAAAACTATGTTATTAAATTTTAATTTAATAATTAAATTTAAATTTAAATTTAATTTAAAAAATTTAAAATTATTAAATTTCTTTGTGGATATTAATGTTCATTTTTATGGGATATACTAATTTAATCTATTTGTTGTTTTATGAATTCTATCTTGTTTGCCATCAATATTGTGATAATGCATTATTTTGTAAAATTCCTTTTTTTGCTGTATTTTCTCTTTACTCCTTTATTTTCAGATTTACTCGTTTTAATTTTGTCTCTTAGGAATAGCATATTGCTAGACTTTCTTTGTTTTTTCAATCTGAGAAGTTTATATTAATAAAGGAAGTTTGTTCATTTATTTTTATTACAATCAATACGATTGATTGATATGTTTTACACGATCGATATGTTTAAACTTAAGTTCTTATTTTATGAACTTTTACTTGACGTGTTTTCTTCTTGAGCACCCCCCCCCCCGACCTTTCACTTTTTATTTTCATCCCTCTCCTCATTACATTGTGTTCTTCTATTCTTTTCTCTCTAATTTGTTTGGTGTTTGTGTATCCAGTTCATGTTATTTTGTGATGACCTTTGAAGAGTTAAGAAACATACTAAAACATATGCATTTGGAGTTACTCAGTTTCTGCAGTCTGTCCTGATCAATTGAAGAAATCTCAGCCTGCCGTTGCTTCTTTTTTCCTAGTGTTCCTTGCCTTTCTGTGCTTCCCCCATCACTCCAAGTACATCTTATATCAAGATAATACAGAATTCTGTATCTAGATTTTTTTTTCTGTAGGTGGCAACATTACATCTTTTCCATCCTACTGACAGGACTATTTTGGGTATGGTATTAGTGATTCAGAATCATTTTTGCTATTTATTTTGAAAATGTTGCTTAATTGTCTTTTTGCAGTCATTGTTGTCTGTGAGGATATTATGCTGATTGGATATTTTTTCTATTTAGGTGCAACCTCTCCCTAAAGTTTTCTAGGGGAATTCTGTTCAAACATTGAGCTTTTTACTTTTCATATGTGTCCATTCTTTTATTCCCTGCCCATTGAATATTTTATTTCATTGATTAAATATTTACTCTCTAAATCTCTAATTGTTTCTTCTTGAAGGATGTAGTATCTTCTGAAATCTCTCTGAACATACTGGTTATTTTTATTCAAAGTTATTCTTGGCAATGTCAACTCTCTAACCAGGGTTTTGGTTTATCTGCCCATTAAATATTATGCCTTTTTTTCCAGGTATTGATTTTCCTGAAATGATTTGTGATTTTTTATTATATACTCATTTTTGTATTTGAGAATTACTGTCAGCTTATTTAGTTTTCTGTAAATCATCTGTAGTGATCTTATGGAGAGGCAAGGATTACAGCTTGGGCATGGGGGGGATTGTCATCCTTTTTCTAGCAGTGGCTGCTTCCGTCCTTGCTCTTCCCCTCTGGCCTGAATACCCACAGTCTCAGCTGTCTCCTCTGTGTAGATGTTCCTGCAGTTTGCTTGGGAGGGCACCCTGTGCTCAGCTGTGTTGATTAGTTTCACATTTTCCTGGAGACTCCTGCTTCTTTTATTTGTAATAGTCTTCTTCTCCAGGTTGGGGCTTTAGGTTGCCACAGTCTTTTCTCTGAAGTTTTGATTCTGATTACTGTCTCTCTTTCAGAATTTCTCAAAATTTCTGATTAAATATTGGCACTCTTTCTTGTTTCCCATTCCTGTTTCTGCTTTATTATTTTTGAAAAATATCTTCTCAGTCACTGTGTGGTATTTTGGGTGGGAAGGAGGTAAGAAGCATGTGTTCAACTTGCCACACAGGATCTTTATAAATGATGGGAGTCAGATCCATTGCCAGTATGTTATGTTTCTCATAAGTGGTATAAGAGCACATTCTCAAGGATAGTGTTCTATAAACTTTCTGCAAGAAGGTCTTTTCCTGAGCTTCTGAAAATCATTAATTATGCAGTAACACAATCACCAGTAACTTTTTGTCGATTATTTATGTATTTATAACTGAGATTGGATAATTCCATTAAGATACTTTTAATTCCTCATATAATTATCATTTTCTGATACGCTTTGATATTACCCTTTTATAGTGACATTAAAATAATAGGTAACTTGGGGGCGCCTGGGTGGCTCAGATGGTTAAGTGTCTGCCTTCTGCTCAGGTCATGATCCCAGGGTCCTGGGATCGAGCCCCACATCGGGCTCCTGGCTCAGCGAGGAGCCTGCTTCTCCCTCTCCCTCTGCCTCTCTCCCTGCTCATGCATGCTTTCTCTCTCTGTATCTCTGTGTCTCAAATGAATAATAAAAAAATAATAATAATAGGTAACTTGCCCCATGGAGGACAGCACTCCCCATGTTTTGTCTGGTGAAAGTTGAGGCGGGCTGGGGACAGCAAGAGTGATGAGATTGCTCACTTTCAGCACTTTTATCATCTTGATGGGATTTGCCATGTCTTTAGGAAGAGTTATTTTGCTGCAGCTAAACTTAAGGGTTGGTTTATAATACATAAGACAGTTCCTTTTGTATTAATGAGATGCATCTGAGTGATGCATCTTTGATTATTTGTTTGCATTATTGCTAAGAGGTATTGGACGAGTACCTTTATCTGGCTGAATATTATACAGTCATGATTTACAACAGGGGTCAGAGGGTAAATATTTTCAGTTTTGTTGGCTGTATCATCTCTGCTGCAGCTACACCTCTGTTGTAGCTTTCTTTCTTTTTTTTTTTTTTTAAAGATTTTATTTATTTATTTGAAACAGAGAGAATGAGAGAGACAGAGAGCACATGAGAGGGAGGAGGGTCAGAGGGAGAAGCAGGCTCCCTGCCGAGCAGGGAGCCCGATGCGGGACTCGATCCAGGGACTCCAGGATCATGACCTGAGCCGAAGGCAGTCGCTTAACCAACTGAGCCACCCAGGCGCCCCTCTGTTGTAGCTTTCAAGTCGTAAGACAATATGGAAATGAACATGCATGACTATTTTCTAATAAACTTTGTGGACACTAAAATTTGATTCTCATATATAATCTTACTGTGCTATTAAATTTTATTCTTCTTTTGACCACCCACCCCATTAAAAAAAAAAGAAGTAGAAACTTTTCTAAGTTTGTGGGATGAACAGGTGTTAGTTTGGACTAGCCAGCCCCTAATTTAGAAGATTATATAATAACATGGAAAATATTCATAATATGTTGAGTGGGGGAAAAAAGCAGATTAAAATCAGTATGTTTAGTGTAATCCTATTTATGTAAAAAAGCAGGCATCAGCATATAGATAGCACTGGAAGAAGAGATACCAAAATATTAATGGTGGTTCTTTCTTGGTAGACAGATTATGGGTAAATTTAAACTTTCTACACTGTTTTTATTTACATTTTCTGAGTTTTGTATCCTGAATAGTTATCATGTTGTTTTTTAGAATAAATATTCTTATATCAGAAAAAAGCTATTTAAAAAAGTGACAGAATTTATACATTTTTAGCAAAATTGGCCTATTCATTGTAATTAGTTTGATACAATCTGTTTTGTTTACCCTCTGCTCCATTTTTAGCCGACAAGTCCCAAATTTGGAAAAGCTGACTCATACGAAAAACTGGAAAAACTAGGGGAAGGCTCTTATGCTACAGTATACAAAGGGAAAAGCAAGTAAGTTCATTCGGTTTTTAATATTTCACATTTAAAATGTACCTGCTCTCTTAATACTGATTATTAACAATTAATAATATTAATTTATTTAAATAATTCTCCTTTAATATACAGTAGATTTTCCCTCTCAGTTTTTGTTCTTGTTGTTGTTTTAAGAAGTGTGAAAGTCAGCAGAATTGGTTTTCCCTGCTAGCAAACAATTTTGCAGACTTGTCCAATTTATCTTTTCTGTCCTACCCCTGCCCCTCCACCCCCAACATTGGGGCTGGAACCCTCAAATGAGAATTCGTTTCCAGGTGAATGATATGATTAATTTCTTCTGGAGGTTTAGTGTTTGCTTAAGAATAAGAGTACTGATTTGACAAAGTCAAATATATTGGCTATTCTTGCGTCTTTTTAAATTGAGCTTTTACTCCATCTAAAGAAATCACTAAATTAAAAAAAAATGCAGACTTTTTCTTTTTTCCTACCTGTGTACTTTGACACCATACTACATATATTTTCACGTGGAGAAACAACCTTCCCTCCTGTTGTTATTCTCCACCCCCCCCCCCCCCCACCCCCCTGCCCAATGCTATCCTGGGGTCAGGCACAAGTTTGGATTCTTGAAAAGCTTACCCCATATGTTTCTGATAGGCCTCCTCCCTCTCTTATTAAGAATGCAGAGTTACTGTATTTGGTGCCATGTAGAAATATAATGCTATTTCTCAAATAACTGTAGGAAATACAAATCTTTACCTTAAATAACATTACCAAATAATGTTGAAAAATAATTTTCTGAACCATTCCCTGTTTTTGTCTCTCTTTTAAGTCATTATGGAAGATAGGAAATTCTAACCTAATTAATTACATAAAATCATGTAGTGGAAAATTCTCTGAAGGAACTTTCTAAACACATAATTGGAAATTTTGACCATTTAGGTAATCTTTGGCTTTTCTGGAATGTAGTTTTTCCTTTGCTTATGTTTTTTAAGAAGATGAAGAAATATTTCTGACAAAGGAAGATATGTAAGTAAGGATGCAGGAATAATATAAGTAACAAATAATAGTACTAATTTTGAGATTTTAAATATTTACCAAAAAAAATGTCTTTTAAAAAATTTGTCTGAAAAAGAAACATGATGGGAATAAAAAATCAAGTCAAATCTATAGGGCTGTTAATGACTTATCTAGAGTGCCTGAACATTACAGAATATTGTTGAGCAGTTTTAAATAGAGGTTGTGTGTAAAACTTTATATTCTTTCCTAAAGAAAAATAGTTATTTCTCTAGTATATAAAAATTAATTGTACATTTAATGTTTATAACATGAGGGTCACTACACTGGATTAAGCAATTGTTTTGCATAATGTATGGTATATCCATTGTCTCATCATTTCTCATGATGCCCTACAAAGATAGTTCCTATAATTATCACCTCCGTTTGACTAGGAGTCCTGTGCTTGGAGAGTTTTCACCACTTGTCCAAGTCCACACAGTTGGTTAGTGGCAAATCTTGTTTTTGGCTCACGTCTCTCTGGTTTGCAGCCATTCTTTTCCTAACCATTATACAATACTGCTTGCACAGTATAAGGCCTTCCTCGGAAAACCTTGGTCCTTGTTGAATATTCCAGATGGTTCTCACATATGCTCTGGCTTGTTGTAATCATGAATCAAACAGAAGCAAACATATTATTTCATTATAAGGAAATACACCAGTTACTTTTAAGTGCCTTCCCAAAAAAGATGGGCTCAGCTGATTTCCAAATGTAAGTTAATAACTCTATTAAATGTTTAACTTTGTGATTTATGTCAAAATCTTGGAGATAGTTGAAAAATCCTCCATTTATTATGCTCGAATAAAAGAAAGGCTGCCTTTTAAGTGTCTGCAATCTTTGAGAAGGGCAGTTCCGGACAGTTAATACTCTTCACTCCAGCAGGCCTAAATGTATCTTGTCAGCATTTCTCAAGCAGTTTCAAGCCTGCTGGTCACATGTAGCATTTAATTTCCTCCAGCTGGAGATGAAAGCCATTGACCACTCACCTGCTTTAAGAGAGGACAGGTTGCCTGTGCTTGCTTGCTTTAGGGTGGCAAGGTCAGGCCAGAGCACAACAGTTACATGCCGTCTAGCAAGGCTTGAGAGCTGAGTTTGTTTGATGTGTCCCCTGAAGTGCTGTAATTTAAATAGCCCCCCATCCCAGGACTCCTCACCACTCTCCCATACATGTCGGCATCCCTGCCTCCCATCTTTAAACATTATCTTTAGCATCTTCTCCAAGAGCAACTATCATTATATTGTGGTAAAGTTGCCTGGTATTTGTAGAGATCTCACTAATTTCTAGTTTGTGAGCATTTTACAAATAAATCTTGAATCACATGGGTCAAGTTGGGATTTTGCCACTAACCTCACTGTATTAGTTTGCTGGGGCTGCCAAAACCAAGTACCACAGACTGGGTGGCTTAACAACCGAAATTTATCTTCTCGCAGTTCTGGAAGCTGGAAGTCTAAGAAGGTGTTGGCAGAGTTGGGTCCTTCTGACGGTTGGTTCTGTAGGGGAGAGAATCTGTTCCCTGCTTCTCTCCTAGCCTCTGTGGTGAGCTGGCAGTCTTCGGCACTTCTGGCCTCTGAACGCGGCACTTCAGTCTCTGCCTTCCTGTTCCCATGGTGTTCTCCCTGTGTGTGTCTGTATCCAAATGTTCCCTTTTCAGAAGGACACGAGTCATACTGGCTCAGGGCCCACCTGCTGACTTCATTTCAATGCAGTTACCTCTGTTAAAGGCCCTATTTCCAAAGAACCTATGTCATATTCTGAGATTAGGGAGCTTCAGTATATCTTTTTTTGAGGATATAATTTAATCCATAACACTTACACATTTCAAACCTCAGTAATTTGGCATTGCATTCATGACAGTGTTCTTTTACTATTTATGGTATATCTTGAGTCATCTTTTATTTCATGGTTCTTTAAATAATACAGGCAAAGGAGATCCTCCTCTCCCCACCCACAAAATGTTTGTGTACTTGTTGATTTAGGTGTAGTTGCTGGTAGCTATAGTATAGAAACTCTTGAAGGAATAGAGAGGCTTTTTATTACCTTGAATTCTCTTGAGTTTCTTACTCTACGTAGATTGGGAAGAAGCTGGCTGAGATTTCTATACTGCGTAGCCCCCTTGGTAAAGAGTTTGGTTCTAGGGGCGCCTGGGTGGCTCAGGTCATGGTCCCGGGGTCCTGGAATTGAGCCCGGGCATCAAGCTCCATGCTTAGCAGACAGTCTGCTTCTCCTTCTCCCTCTGCTGCTCACCCTCACCCCCTGCCCCCCATATGTGCTCTTTCTCTCTCTCTCTCTCAAATGAATAAAATCTTAAAAAAAAAGAAGACATTTAAAAGGACAAAAAAAATGTAAAATACCTGAATGAGCTTGTATTAGTCTTTTGTAATTTGTGGCAATTATGCTTTTCTTTTTTTATACCAAAAAAAAAAAACCTTGAAAAGGCAAAAATAAATAAATAATAAAAAAAGAGGAGCCTGGTTTTAAAGAATATGGCTGGTACTGCAACCATGTCAACACACAAAACTCACAAACAAGCTCTTTAATTTTTTAATAAAAGCCTTGGATTTCCCACATTTTCATATTTGAGTAGAAATATATATTTTTTTAAATCAGTGTTCTTCAGCTTACTTCGTGTGTGTGTTTATGTTTGGGGAAGGGAGGCAGTTTATCATCACTCGGACTACGAATCTCTATCCTGGCTTGGTTTCCTGATTATGTTCTCTCTTTTACATCCCTGTAGCGTTTAATATAAGATTTAAAAAAAAATATGCATTGTATAATACTTTGCATTTAAAAAATATAACATTTAAAAATGTTTTTAATTTAGTACCTCAAAATCATTTTTACCTTTCAGGAATTTTCCCAGGGACTTTTGTACATTAAGAGACTTGTTAACATTTTTTTTTTTTTTTGAGCTTACTCAACTACTGATGAGTGTTTATTATGTTGTTTTTATGCCCTTTTTATACTGTAGGTGAAGAAGAGGTGAATCACATGCAGATTCTGACCTCAAGGGCCTTCAGTTTTGAAGGGAGATGGTCCATATACCTAAATAACTCAACATAAGTTAGAATGTAGTATATTTGATATGAGCTAGAATGCAGTAAAAAAGGCCCATGTAAAATGGTGTGGGATTTTCAAAAGGAAGGAAGAGAGGATGATGTTGACTAAAGTATTTTAAGTATGTTCTCTCCAGGGGTAACTGATCAAATTCACAGCCTCATGTGCTTTTATTTTTTCAATTTTTAAAAAAGTTTTTATTTTAATTCCAATTAGTTAACATACAGTGTTATATTCATTTCAGGTGTACAGTGTAGTGATTGAGCACTTCCATACATCACGCAGAGCTCATCGTGACAAATGCCCTCCTATGTCCCCATCACCTATTTCACCAGTCCACCCCCCCACCTCCCCTCTGGTAACCATCAGTTTGTTCTCTATAATTAAGCATCTGTTTCTTGATTCTCTCTCTCACTTTTTTCCCTTTGCTTATTTGTTTTGTAAATTCCACATATGAGTGAAATCATTTGGTATTTGTCTTTCTCGGACTGGCTTCTTTTGCATCAACAGAACGAAATCTTGTCATTTACAAGGACCTGGAGCTAGAGAATATAATGCTAAGCCTCAGTGCTTTTAAATCAAGCCTCCCTCATCACTGTGTGTATTCATAGGAATCCTTGGGACAGTTGTCTTTTGGGCTGTGGTCCCCAAACAAATATATTTTCACCCTTTGTTATCAGACATTCCACTAAACTTATTAAAGACTGGGAGCCTTAAAGGAAAAGCAAACTGATTCATTCTGATTATTGTGCAAATTTTGATTAAGCAAAAGTGTACTGTTTAAGTGTTAAAGTGGAATTGGTTTAAAGCAATGTAATTTGGCAGGGTCGGTGGGTTCTTTATGTGTGAGCACCCATTAAGGCCTGGCTATTGCAGATAAGGGCTCGGACCACAGACAGCCACCTCAGA